TACTGGGTCGTCAGCGACGCAGGTGCCACCGATCGGGTCTGCACGTATTTCAAACTGTGTCAGGGCAACCCTATTGATTCAGACGCAGTAACCTTGGAGGTTCTGCCAGCTGGCACCGATGTGGAAATGGGAGGCGGATCATTGTATGTTTCATTCCTTCATTCCACACCGGTATATTAACATAGTACCAAAGCAACTTCAAACAAATTCCGAGCCTCGTCAAGGATGGAAGATTGGATATCAAGACTGTGGATCAGGCGGTATCACGACTCCTCCGCGCCAAGTTCGAAATGGGGCTGTTTGAGAACCCATTCCCCGCTGCTCCGCAAGACCAGTGGCCTTCTTTGATCCATACTGATGAAGCGGTTGATCTGGCTCGTACAATAGACCGAGAATCGATCGTGCTCCTAGAGAACCACAACAACACTCTACCCCTCAAGAAGACGAGCAAGATTGCCGTTATAGGTCCTATGGCTCATGGATACATGAATGTGAGTGCAGAGGAGTCAGCCCCTGTGAGGTTACTAACACTTATATTGCAGTACGGAGACTACGTTGTAAAGGGAAGTCAGAGCCGCGGAGTGACGCCTCTTGATGGGATACGTGCTGCGGTTGGCGAATCGGCCAAGATCACTTATGCGCAAGGATGTGAACGGTGGAGTAATGACCAGAGCGGTTTTCCACAAGCCATTCAAGCCGCTAGGGATGCGGACGTTGCGGTGGTCGTCGTGGGTACATGGTCTAGGGACCAGGAGGAACTCTGGGCTGGAGTTAATGCTACGTACGTTTCTTACCATCTTCCCTTTTCCTCTCGGTTCTAGTGTTATCCAGAGTCCCGGCTAAGTTGGATCTTAGGACCGGCGAACACGTGGATGTCAATAGCCTCAACCTCGTCGGTGCGCAGGCCGACCTCGTTCGTGCCATCTCCGACACTGGAAAACCCACTGTCGTGGTCTTTTCTTCGGGCAAGCCCATTACAGAGCCTTGGATTGCCAATAGCACAGCCGCCTTAGTACAACAGTTCTACCCATCTGAACAAGGAGGAAATGCTCTGGCCGACGTCCTCTTCGGCGACTACAATCCCTCTGGTCGACTGTCTGTCAGCTTCCCGCATGATGTGGGATCTCTCCCGGTGTACTACGACTATCTGAATTCAGGTCGCGCAATTGGAGATTCCGGACACGTTGATGCCAATGGGACCATTGTTTTCGGACATCAGTACGTGATCGGCACGCCGCAGCCGTGGTATCCATTTGGATACGGCAAGTCATACTCGACTTTTGAGTATTCGTCTGTATCCTTGGATAAAACAAATGCGACAGTCAAGGACACACTTACTGCCAGTATCGATGTCACCAATACCAGCCCTGTGGATGGAACAGAGGTTGTACAGCTGTACCTTGTCGACAGCATTGCCAGTGTTGATGTGCCTAATCGCAAGCTCAAGGGGTTCAAGAAACTTCGCGTCAAAGCTGGCGAGACGGCTACTGTCAAGCTTCCGGTCCCCATTCAAGAAATAGGGCTGTGGAATAGGAAGATGCAGTATGTTGTGGAGCCGGGCGAGTTTGCCGTGCTGATCGGAAGAAGCGCGACGGATATTGTTGGAAATGCAACCTTTTACGTTTCTTGAAAGAGTAATTTTGATCACTGTTATCGTTTCCTTGAGGTTGGACAATATACTTCGATCGAACTCCATACGAGGCAATATTTTTAGAATAATAGAGCTTAATAACCACCAGCAAGAAGACCTTGGGAGCAACAAGAGGGAGCAACAAGAGTAACGTAGAAGACAGGATGAATAGAGCCAGGAGGATAAGGGGAGAGGATGGAGGAAGTGTGCGCTTGGGAAATTCAACTAGTCTTTAGCAGTTAGGATTGTGTCCACCCTCCAGACATCCCTAGCAAGCCTTGTGATATCCTCATGAGTCATGAGGAAATCATCCTCGTTACCTTGGCGATCTCGGAGGAAAAGGCTTCTGAAGGGTATCTCGAACCTCCCACAGATAGTAGGATCCTGACTAGACGATTGTGGCTTTTCGATCCACATTTTTTGAACTGGGTCTGCAATAACTCGGTCCGGGTTGGTCTTGGTGGGCTTATGCCTTAGCTCCCACTGCTCGAGTGTAATTCGCTTGTTCCATATGTTCACAGACACGGTCATCGCAAACTCGACTTGCCTTTGCGTAGCTTGGAGCCATAGCCTCATGTCTTGTTCGACCTTGATTCTTGGTTCGGAGTAGGCTACTTCGAGGACAAATGTGGGCCATTTCATTGTCCGAGAGGGAGGAACGGCGAATGGGTGAATTACCTGCTCTGCTCTTTTTTGGATCGTCTGCAAAATTCCTTCAGACATCACGGGGAGCCCATTGTCATCAAATTGGGCGAGGTTGTAATTTCCAGTTCCAGTAAAGACTAACTCGGAACCAACGTTCATGTCGTGTACCTTTTGATCGATCCATCTTGTAACTGCCATGGATGCTGAACTGTGCCAGAGGGATTCCATTTTGAGAACTAGGACCCCTGTATTTGGGTCGAAGAATTTTGTACATGAGGTTAACAGCGCGTGGTCGGATTTGCGGATCTCGTCGAATGAATGTTCATCAACGCCGTAGAAAAAGACACACGGCCCATCAGCTCGAGAACGATCCGTGGAAGTATTCGTCGCTGCTTCAATTTTGTGAATACACTGCACCAAATCTCGATATTGACACTCGAGGGTTGTGGTGGGGTATGGGACTGACATGGCCTGTCCCTGGGCGTAGATGCCCACCGAGGAAGGAGAGGCCATTGAATCGGATAATTCGAATTTCAGGGAAAGAACAGTGGGATCTGGCAAGAAGAGATAAATGAGGATATTGGAATCTACCCGCGCTATATTTATTTATTTATATGTTATGTGGATGACGTCTTACTTACCTTATAACTATCATTTATGATCATTAGTTTAGATACATTAAACTTATATAGCCTTTGTTGGATCATCCCATCGTTCCTAGATGGATGCCCTATTTTTTAGGCGAGTGAGCGCTTGCTTGCCTGTTCGTTAGTTAGTTTGTGGCCTTATAAAAGGCCTTTCCTTCATAGATTGAATAGGGCAGATTTCTCTTCTTGATTCTCCCTCGGTAGCAAATTCAAAGTAGCCAATTCAACAGCCTTACCTAGTAATAAAATTTATGGAAGATGAAATAAAAAAGGCTGAAACTAATAGGAATGGGCGAAGGGCCATCCACTCCTGATACTCCGCTCCGAAGATCCCGATAGGACTGTTTCGGGCCGATTTATTCAACAATTGTCCGAGATGGTGTAACCGGCCCTTACGTCGTTTTAAAAAAATTACAGACCCTAAGGGCCGGTTAGTGACTAATATCGCCGTCTCTCACATGGCAGCCGGGGGTTCGATACCCCCTATCGGAGGCTCTTGCATTGCTTTTTACATTGCATACAACATCACCTTTCAATTCGTTGCAGCCATGTCTATCTAGCGCTGGCTAAATTTCATCAAAGTGGCGATTGTCTTAGTCCGCTTAGAGAGATGAAACCTTTTATTGGAGTGCAAATAGCAGCAGACAATTATGTACTATTATATCGTAATGATCAAAGATAATTTAATGGTTACTGGTGTTGGTTTAGCATGGTTAGCATGGTTAGCATGAACGATCCGTACTTTTGATATGCAGGACAAAAACTTTATATGGCTGGCTATGTACGCACGCACCTAGCCTATAATCACCCGCTTCTGTTTACTTCCCGCGTGTAAAATAATATGATACATGAGGTACTGTATCTAAAAAGATATCTCACGATAATCTCCGATAGGGGGAATCGAACCCCCGGCTGCCGTGTGAGAGACGGCGATGTTAGCCACTACACCATATCGGACAGTTTTACTGTTAGGTTTAGTATTTAGAACCTACGCCCTTCCGACCTTCTAAAAGGAAAGACATGAATGAGAAGCACTTGTTCACTACGAATGGATATCTCTACGCTTAAAAAATCAAAACGGCAGCCAGAAGCTCTTTGTGAAATTTTCAAGTAAATCATGTCTCATAACGTAGACTCAAATGAAACAACGACATGATGGTAAGAACGCTGAACCTTGTGTACAAAGGGGTATTAGGTGCAGACTCCTGGTGCATCATGGATATACTAGCAACGTAGGATAAAATCGTTTTTTTTTTTTTTTTTTTTTTTTTTTTTTTTTTTTTT